ACTTGGCCCCACAGTTAATTAGAACTCGGGCGGGCCGCGGCTGGGCGGGCAGACGGGTCGGCCGGGACGGCCAGACCAACTGACTAAGGTTGCGCACAAACAACCAGTTGAGCTGAAAGGCTTCGTTGGGGCCCATGGAAACCGAAGCAAGCTGGCAGGCAGACAGGCAGACAGACAGGCCGAAACAGACAGGGGAAATCGGCCAGGACAGGATAGGCAGGGCAGCCTGGACAGGCGAAAACGGATAAATGAACAGACAGACAGAACAGACAGACTGCGGAACAGACACACAGACTCATTTCCCTCGGGCTCCAACTTTTCCGGGGCGGAGTGTGAAGTTAGCAAAGTGCAAGCCACGGATCACTGCGTCCTAGACTGCGGTTTCGACGGCGTCCTCGACGGCGTCCTCGACGGCGTCCTCGACGGCGTCCTCGACGGCGTCCTCGACGGCGTCCTCGACGGCGTCCTCGACGGCGTCCTCGACGGCGTCTTCGACGGCGTCCTCGACGGCGTCCTCGACGGCGTCCTCGACGGCGTCCTCGACGGCGTCCTCGACGGCGTCCTCGACGGCGTCCTCGACGGCGTCCTCGACGGAGTACTAGACTGCGTCGGCTGCTGGCTGTCTTCGTGACAAATTGTTCGGGGAACTACTTAGTTGGCGCGACTCGCACGCGTAATGGACAGTCGGCCCGGAAGTGGGCCGGAAGTAGGACCGGAAGTAGGACCGGAAGTAGGTGCGGTGGTCCCTCGCCGGGCCGTGGCGTGGGTTCAACACCCGGTGGTGACTCCCGAGGGGGACGTAAAAATTTGTTCGGCTGTGGAGTTGGGGCTGCGCCGGCTGCGGTGTGCGCAGCGAGCGCGTGGGGGCACCGATTCTCCCCCAAGGCGAGACACTACTCTTCCGCACCAATCCCAAGGGCCAACCGCCGTGAGCAGCGCCAGTTTCCTCCTTGGACCAAAATATCTTTTATACCTTCGATTTACGAGTGCACATTTGTTTTGCAGCCTGAATCCACCAATTTTACCTGAGATTTCATTCAGTACAGTATTTTCTTCAATTATCAACTAACTTGTAGTGAATCCGACGAACCTTTTTTGAGAGAAACCTCCGCGGCCTCGAAGCGCGGCTCCTGCTCTGCAGCTCTCTTCCGCGCCGGTTTGTTTCTTCGGGCCGCTTTGTTTTAGACAGTGCACCCGCGCTAATGACCCAGTACCGCTTCCCAGCCTGGCGTAGCCCCGGCGCGGAGGGAGCCGACAAAAAGACGTCAACTTTCTAAGGTGCCAGAGCGCGCGGAGGAAGACCCGGAGTCTATATCATTCCTCCTACCTAAATGTTCGCCTACCTGTCTATTTCGCCTACCTATTTTTCGCCTACCCAATAAAAATATTGAATAAAAATATTCAATAAATATTGCCTTTTTTCGCCTACCTATAGTTCGCCTCCCTAACAAAAAAATTAAATAAAAATATTCAACAAAAAAACGAAAAAATCGGCGGCAAAAAGTGGCAATACGAAAGTCTCAAGGAGACCCGCCGATCAGCTTCGGTGTTCTTATGGGAACCGGGCCTTCATCCGACGCTCCCTGCCGCGCAATTCGACAGATTAGTGGGTTCGTATTGGGCTGGCCCACCCGAAGTGCGCGCGGTTTCTGTGGTACAGTGAGAGTCCAGATTCAGAGGCCTTACCTCAGAGGGGTCACATTGGGTATTTGAACCCGCGACCCCGAGTGCCGAGTCTAGTCAACTCCTCTACCTGACCGCTCAGCCACCGAACCAGCTTGTCGGGGGCGATGTCGCAACTCCTCTTAGCTACCGTTCGAGAAATCTGGTCCCAAAAAAAGGTACCTTGAGCGGTCTCGAACCCGGGACCTGCCGCTTCCCACTTCATGCTCTTAACCACTGAGCCCCCGGGACGCCATGGCACCCGGCCTGCCTGCGCTGGTACCAATTTTCTCTGGATATACCTCGCAAAGCAATTGTTGCCGAAAAAATTGTATGTACTACCTCCCAAACCCCGGGACCTGCCGCTTCCCGCAACATGCTCTTAACCACTGAGCCACCGGGACGCCAGGCACCGGCCTGCCAGCCCCGGTACCCAATCTTCTCTAGATATACCCCCCCAAGAAATTGGGTCGCCAAAAAATTTAAACATTTTACTGGTCCCAAACCCCGGGACCTGCCGCTTCCCACAACGTGCTCTTAACCACTGAGCTACTGGAGGTCATGGTGCCCGCACTGCCAGCGCTGGTACTCAATCCTCTCCGGATAGCCCCCGTCAAGAAGTCGGTTGCGTCTGCCAAAAAAATATGCTCATGGCACTAGTCTCGAAGCCGAGACCTGCCAGTCAGGAACGCAGCACTCTAACCACTGCGCTACAAAGTTGCTACGCACGGCGCACACCCCATCGCCGAAGTTATTATTTGTCCGCATCAAGCAAGATGGGTGGCTATTGAAGTTTGGCGTAGTTGAGGGGGCATAGCAACCTGGGAGCCCGTGGTTAGAGTGCTGCGTTCCTGACTGGCAGGTCTCGGTTTGAGACTAGTGCCATGAGCATTTTTTCGGCAGACGCAACCGACTTCTTGACGGGGTCTATCCCGGGGAGGATTGAGTACCAGCGCTGGCAGTGCGGGCACCATGATCCTCCGGTAGCTCAGTGGTTAAGAGCACGTTGTGGGAAGCGGCAGGTCCCTGTTCGGGACCAGTAAAATGTTTAAATTTTTCGGCGACCAATTGCTTGGGGAGGTATATCTAGAGAAATTGGGTACCGGCGCTGGCAGGCCGGGTGCCATGGCGTCCCGGTGGCTCAGTGGTTAAGAGCATGTTTGGGGGAAACGGCAGGTCCCGGGGTTTGGGACCGGGAGTACATACAATTTTTTTGGCAACCAATTTCTTTGCGAGGTATATCCAGAGAAGATTGAGTACCCGCGCAGGCACCGGTGCCATGGCGTCCCGGTGGCTCAGTGGTTAAGAGCATGAAGTGGGGAAACGGCAGGTCCCCGGGGTTTGAGACCGCTCAAAGGGAATTTTTTTGGGACCAGATTTTTCGAACGGTAGCTCAAAAGGAGTTTCGACATCGCCGCCGACAAGCTGGTTCGGTGGCTGAGCGGTCAGGGTAGAGGAGTTGACTAGACTCGGCACTCGGGGGCGCGGGTTCAAATACCCCAAAGTGACCCCTCTGAGGTAAGGCCTCTGAATCTGGACTTCACTGTACCACAGAAACCGCGCGCACTTCGGGTGGGCCAGCCCCAAAACGAACCCCCTAATCTGTCGAATTGCCGGCAGGGAGCGTCGGATGAAGGCCCGGTTCCCATAAAACACCGAAGCTGATCGGCGGGTCTCCTTGAGACTTTCGTATTGCCACTTTTTGCCGCCGATTTTTTTGTTTTTTTTTTGAATATTTTTATTTTAATTTTTTTTTTTTGGGAGGCGAACTTAGGTAGGCGAAAAAAGGCAACTTTTTTGAATATTTTTTTTCAATTTTTTATTAGGTAGGCGAAAAATAGGTAGGCGAAATAGACAGGTAGGCGAACTTTAGGTAGGAGAAATGAAAACTCCCAAGACCCGCTCAAAATAACCCGCCTCTCCTCCTGCTGCTTGGAGTTGAGGGCCGGTACTTTGTTGCATCGGATACAAAGCTCTGGACTTTTTTTTTCTTTTTTTAGAGTGTAGGGCCGAGCGATGGCGTGACGAGGTGGCCTCAAAAACAGAGTGAAGGCGGTGAGGACGGCAGGGCGTGGAAGGGTGCGGACTTTACGCCGGCCTTAAAGACGCCAGCCGTGCGTCCTTCCTCTCTCTCTCTCTCTCTCTCTCTCTCTCTCTCTCTCTCTCTCTCCCCATGTGTGCGACCGTTTCTCGAGGTGCGCGACGTGGGGCTGAAAGCTGGAAGCTGGGGCCGAGGCCGCGCGGCGGACGGCGGCCTAACTCAGTATGATTCATAGTTACTGGGCCACTATCGCTGTGATATTGCAGAGCCCCGACGGTGTATATGGGCGAACCGTCGGCCCGGCCGCTCGGCTCGGCTCGGCTCGGCTCGGCTCGACACGGCACGGCACGGCTGCGCACGGCTCGGCACGGCCCGTCAGGCCGGCGGAAAGCGGTGCCATTTCCCATTCCCACGCCCTTCCAAACGCCGCACTATTTTACTCTTCTTAAAGAAAATAAAAATGGGGGAGTGTCGGCGGCCGGCCGAGTCTTTTGCCGCCTTTCCACGACTGGGGTTCGTCGTTTTCCCGCGCAGTCTTTGACTCCGCTTCGATTATTTCATCAGTCATGATGTGTTGATGATTTAATCAATAAGCGACTGACATTTTCACTGAGCTTCGGAACGAAATCCACTTGCAAAAATAACGTTTTGATCATCAACCTGCTGACAACATTTTTACTTACCTTCCCTTGCAAAAGTAACATTTTAATCAACAACCAGCTGACAACATATTTATGAAGCGTCCGAAATAAATCCTCTCGTGATGCACCCAAACTTTACCACTGGTCCACTAACAAACTGTTCATGTAGAGGACGAGAGTGCGCGCGCGTCTGTGTGTGTCCGTGACTGTGCGCGCTCCGCCCGATTAGTTTATCTGACGCACCAGCTTATGAGAAAAGCAAACTTTTCGCATAATTCGCGCGCGGGGCCGGCCGCGCGACAGGGCGTCGCGATACCGACCGGTGTTACGTGGTTACGTGCACGGCCAGTGCTGCAACACGGCTTATACGACTTCTGCGTCGACCGTCTGTCTGTCTGTCTGTCCGTCCGTCCGTCTACGCGTGGCACGACTTCCAGTGCGCGGAATGGCACCCCTGGAAGTGGCGGAGCAAACTGAGCAAACACACTGCAGGGGCATGGGAACCAATGGCAACAGTCTGCTGCAGCGGAGAAGAGCCAAAAGAAACTACTTCGCCATGGAAGAGGCGCGTAAAAAAAAGAAAAAAGGACGTTGCCGGGGCGAGTGTTTGAACCCGCGGCGTGCCGGCGCGGTTGGCGCGATGATGAGATACTTACATGGAACTCTGGGCGCGGTGTGTGGGCCCCAGCGTGGAATGCCAAACAGATCCGGTGACCTAAAACAAGGGAGAACTGCGTTACGTGCCTGCCGTACGAAGCGTCGCAAAACGTGCCTGGGAATGCGGGGAATCGAGTGGGGCAGGCGCGGCCAAAGTGTGGGCGCAAAGTGGGCAAAGAGTGGGAAAAAGTGGCAAAAAGTAGGCATTATGGAGGGCAGGGTGGTGCGCAGTGGAGTTCCATTTAGCGACTCTGGAGCTCAAAACGCGTCCGGGGTTTCGGCCGCCTGCGCCGGTCTTCCGGCCCACTGTGGGCGGAATGCGAGACGGGCAAGACGGGGTGCAGTTGGCCGGAACGACGAGCAGGCGCGTCGCGCCACTGGTTGGCATTTGTACGCAGTCTGGGCGGCGCTGCTGGTGCGCCAACCCCAATTCGACTGTGGAGGAGCTTTCGCGGATCGTGCTATAGCCAATGGGCTTGTGCGTGATGAGGATTTGGGGGCAAGACAGCGTTATGTGGGACGTGCTGGGCGTACCGGGGCGGGGCGGGGCGGGGCGGGGCGGGGCGGGGCGGGGCGGCGAGGCCTGCATTGAATGGGGAACGCCCCGCTAATTGCGTCCTGGGCCGCGCGTGACGCGGTGCTGACACGGAGCGACACCCGTCACCAGCCCCGACAGGATAAACAGAACGAGAAACGTCACAAAAATTATCAACCGCCCGACCGATCTGCAAGTTCGTTCGTTCCTTCTTTCTCTCTCTCTCTCTATCGCTTCGAGTGCCGTAATAACAGCTTGTCGCACATCGCTTGTCGCTGAAGGGACGAGGCGACAGACGGGCCGTTTTGCGCTGAGAGCTCCAGGTGCCCTTTACAACACTTTCGCCGCCCTTCTCTCTCTCTCTCTCTCTCTCTCTCTCTCTCTCTCTCTCTGCGGCAAACTCTTCGCGCGGATCACCAAAGTTTGTCGCCGAACCCGCAACAGCATCGCCACCCGGAACCGGCCCGGCCGAGGCTCCGGTCCGACCCGCTATCTAAACCGAAACCCTACACCGGCCGAGCGGCGACGCGGCCGAGCGGCCAAGCGGCGGCCACCCAAGTTTCCGCCGCTCTGTCTCTCTCGCACGCATGGGCCGTCCCGTACACGTGCGAGAGAGACAGAGCTGTGGGCGCGTCCGGCTATGGTTAACAGGCGCTCTTCTGGTCGGAAGAAAACAAGTGGGCAGGACACCGTTTTGGTTCGAGCTTTTTGAACAGAGACCCGCGGTGGCGGAACACACAGCCGCACTGTTGTACCCTCCTTTCGATCGGCTCTCCATCGGCTGGGCTCGCTCGGCTTGGTGTGGCTTCGAGCTTGGAACCGCCAGCCCGGGGCGGGCCGGGCCGGGGCAGGCTCCCTTTTGTTTACCTTGGCCGGCGTGCCCGGCGGCCTCTCCACAGGCCGGCACCACCACCGTGCCGAACAGCGCCGCTCTCTCGTGGGGCGTCCCCTGTGGGTGCGAGAGAGACGGGGCGGCGGCGGGCACCCCTGTCCCCGGCACCGGGATGGCGGGATGGCACCCGGGGCAGCTCGGCGTCGTCGTGTCACTCGCAGTCCGCCGCCAAACTTGCGGTGGCTAATGGGGAGAGGGAGAGGGAGAGAGAGAGAGAGAGAGAGAGAGAGAGAGAGAGAGAGAGGCCCGCCGGAGGAGTATCACCTGCCAGGCGATGCTATCCAAAGTGACGGTGTGCCCCACGGTGTGCCCCACGGCGGTGGACCCCAAACTATCCTTGATCCTTCTCTTTGAGCTAAGCAGCGCGAGCAACGCCGGCCAGTAGAAGTATAGTGTGCCGGAAGGGGGAAGGGGGAGGGGGCGGGTCCTCGGCCCAGAGGGTGATTAGAGATTAGGTGCCGACACCCTGGCACACGGAATTGGCCCACGTGTGTGTGTGTGTGTGTGCGTGCGCGCGGTTGCGTGTGAGGGTGGCATGGGGCATACCGCACGCCCACCCCAAGGCCTCCCTCGAAGACGCCGGGCCGCAGCTCGCACAGGCCCCCCTCTAGACCATAATATTGAATATCAAGGGGCACGGCGGTGGGGAGGGGGGAGGGGAGGGGGTAGCCAGGGGCGCGCCGCCCTTCACTTCACTTCGTTTTCCCAGTGTCGTCCCGAGCAAACATATAGTCGCCTGCCTTCTGAAGGGCCCCAAATACATAACAGTCGCAAAAAAGGGGGGGTTGATGCACGCGTTATCCAGCACGCAGCCAAGTGATGTGAAGTGGAGTCGGTGGTATTAGAGGTCAGGTTAGGTTAGGGTCAGCCAGCGCGAGCGAGGGGTTGATTGGCACGACGGCCCTGAAGACTCATTCCGAGAGTCGTTTTCGTCGCTCCGTCTCTCTCGCACCAATGCGGGGCCCTGTCGTCGTTGGCGAGCCCCACAATTGCCAACTCGCCGCGCGTCTCGAGACTGGCACACTGTGGGCGGCTTTTCTGCGAAAACAATCAACATCGCATTTGAATAAATCAGCCAAATTTGCAAGCCATTTCTTTTCTTTTCGCTCTCACTACGAGAGAGAGAGAGAGAGAATCCTTGCCCGTCTAACACGGTTTGGTGGACAGACAGAACACACCCGACACGCCGCACTGGTGAAGCCTCGGGCTGGAATTTAAAAGTGGGAGTGTGGACGAGGGCGTCTCTCTCGTCGTGAGTCTTCCTCGCGAGCCTCTCTCGCCAGAGTGTGGCAAAAGGAATATGGAGCGCGCCAAGAGGGAGGGCACGCCCATGGCACGGCTTGAAAGGCCAGGGTGCCCGACGACGGGTCCACGCCAGGGTCCACGCCAGGGTCCCCGCCGGGGTCGGCGCTTTTAGGAGTTTATAGCACACGGGGTGGTGGTGGATGTGGCGGGAGGAGGCGGGCCGCGCAGAGAGAGAGAGTAGAGAGAGAGAGAGAGAGAGAGAGAGAGAGAGAGAGAGAGAGAGAGAGAGAGAGAGAGAGAGAGAGAGAGAGACTGGAGCAACAGGACGGCTTCGCAGGCTTGCGAGGCCCTGCCGCGGCGGATCCATCCGACACCAGCCGACGCCCACCCGGCGGGGGGTCGGTTCCGTCGGTTCCGTCGGCCGGGCGCGGCGGACGCGAGCCGTGCTGATCCCGGTCGCATCCCCTCATCCGATCCGACCCGATCCGCTCCCCGGGACACGCCCTGCTCGCCCTGCTCCGAGCATCCCGCCCGCTCGGCGCCTCGCTCGGCGCGCTTGTCGGGAGGTGAACGGGGCGAACCGGCGTCGGGGATCGCCGGGGATTGTCGGGATGAGGAGGCGAGGGCTGGAGGCCGGGGCCGGGGCCGCGCGGACCCACAGTGGGCCGGAAGGCCGGCGCAGGTGGCCAACTCTTGGACGCGCTTTGAGCTCCAGAGTCGCTAAATAGGACTCGAACCGAACGTGTGACCCCACCAACGGACTGCTCTCCGAACGAGGAATCCATTGGTGGGGTCACACGTTTTGGTTCGACTCTGGAGCTCAAAGTGCGTCCACAGTTTTGGCCGCCTGCGCCGGTTTTCTAGCCCACTGTGGGACGGGCGGGCCGGCGAGGGGCGAACGGGCGGACAGGCGGGTCAGTTCCGGGGAGGGAGGCCTTCACAGGTCCTTTTCCTTGACAGGGCCTCGGGCGAATTTAAGCACCACGCTGGGCCCAAGTAACCCTACCCTGTCATCGAGACCGATGCCGCGGAAAGAAGACCATATCGAGCTAGATTGCTCTTTGTTTTTATTGTTGCCGAAGAGAACAACTGTCTCGGGATCGAATCCCAGCGGGGGTGTGACATTTGTTTGTTTTTTTTTCTGCACCCCGCGCACTCAACTAACCGAGCTGTGTCCTACTGTACTACTGATGTGGGTTCGCCAGCTGCGTCGGTGGAGGCCAACCAGGCCAACCAGGCCAGCCAGGCCAGCCAGGCGCCGCCAGGGCTTAAATTTTCTTCCGCAGCACAACAAAAAAGGGCGGGGCACATACTTGCAGACGCAGCAAATCCTCTCTGGCCACGCCAGTGCAGCAAGTAAGGCAGGAGGCGGGTGGGCAGCCAGGCAGACAGGCAGACAGGCAGACAGACAGCCAGAGCAAGGCTAAAAGCAACAACCTGACCCCGACGGCGGCCAAAAGGACCACAGAATAACCTCAGGGAGACACGAAAAAGGGGGCCAAAATGAAGAAAATCATCCACCTCTGCGCGCGCGCACACACACACTCACACACACAGAGGAAGGGCCCGGTGGCCATGCAGCACGCGTCAATCCTATTTGGCTGTCCGACAGGCCTGGGAGGTCTGAGGCAAGGGAAAGTCCTTTTCGGGGCACGTCCCGCCGCGTCCCGCCCTGACTCACATCCGGGGCTTTTTGATTTGACGCGCGATGCATGCAGACGCCTCTTTTCGGCTTGGCTGGCCTTTCCCCCCTCCCCCGCGCCTAATCTGCTTCGCCCAGAGCCCCCCCCCCTCCCCCTTCCCCCCTGGGGCCTCATCATAAATCCGGAGCACTGACGGCCCGTGAAATAGGTGCCGTCAAACTCATGCTTTCGTGCACTCATAGCGCCGGCGCGGGGCGGGGCGGGGTGGGGCGGGGCGGGGTGGGGCGGGGCACCACCACGGAGAGGGGTAAATCTGGGGGAGGGAGGGGGGGGGAGGGAGACAACGACAAAAGAGAGAGGCTTGCGGGAGACAGGACTCGAGTGTGTGCGTGTGTGTGAGAGAGAGGGTGTGTGTGTGCGAGAGTGTGAGTGAGTCGAGAGGACGCCCTGGTTGGCTGCGCACCACACAGAAGGAGGAAGAAGGAGGAGAAGAAGAAGGACCTGTTGGTGATGATCGAGTAAGCAGTGGCGGGGGTCGCAGCGTCGCAGCGTCCGAGGTGGCCACCAAGCCGAGCGCAAACCGAGTTTCTACAGCCTCAAGACGTACTCCGTCCGAGTTTAAAGAGAAAGGCGCGGCGAGGTGCGTCGTTGTTGCAGTCGGGACGTCGTCCTTGGAAGTCATTCAAAGCGGGCCGGACGCTTGTGTTCCGGGCCAGCCGGCCGGAACCGGAAACCCGAGGCGA